TAGATGGACACAAGTTGTCGCAGAGTATCGAGAGGGGGTTAGCCGGAGTCCCTAGAGTGGCATACCTTGGCTCTGATACCATGTGAGAATATGTGGAAGCCCCAGATCACTCTCCAAAAGAGCCCTTATGGAGAAAGGGGAGGTTCCAACATATATACAGGAGAATTGGTTCAATTCTAGCCAATGTGGGACTCCAACAGGTTCAAAAGTGGTTCAAGAGAACTTTTGGACACCTTGTCATATGGGTCTTTTTTGTGTAACCATGGGTGTCTAGGCCAGCTTGTGCGTATCTCAACTTATCGCATGGCCATGAAGATAAGATAACAGTCAGGTAAATCCCTAGTGACCCTGAGAATACTGGAATCGGCAGCCTAAGGAAAGGAGCCTCAAGGCTTGTTGGCCTTTCTTTTAAAATTGAGCTGACCCTCAGCTCAACGTCAAGTGCATAAGTCATATGCGTCTTTAGAAAATGGAAAATGGAAAATAGAAACAAATGGTGCAAACAAATGATATGCTCACCTCTTCAGGGCTGAATTGAAGGAGCATTGCAATAACAGGTAGTAGAGCCCCAACTTCACCTATTCCCACAAAAGTTCAGCAGGATATATTTTATTTACAGATATAAAAATCAAGAGCAAATGAACACCATGTAGAATCGAATACCTGTTTCAAGAAGCTTTAATATGACATTTTTAAGATACGTCATATCGACTCCTTCCCTCTTTTTTGATCTTTCCATGTTTCGGAGCTCTTCCTTCAACATAGCTTGCTGTGGGTTGTTATGAGAAAAGTAATAGTGAAAGTTATAAGTATAGTTCATGTCATATCCCGTACGACAACGTGGACGAGTCTCAGTTCATGTAACTTACAACACATCGTCCACTAAAGATATTGTCTCAATTAGCAACCATTCTCAAAATTCACAGCACATTAGAAGTTCAAATGTTCTGAGGTGAGTTGGAACAACCTGGATACCCTTTTTTGCGCTCTCAAAGCTGTTCACTACCAATAACTTCCACTGTGGTTTTAAGTTGATTTGGAAGTTATCGGGCCAACATGCTGCTTTGGGCTATGGGGCGTTGCATGTGTGTTTTCCTATGTACTTGCACATTATAGCACATCACACTAGAGAACTTGCTTACCCACAAAAGAATTGTCAGAATGCAGAGAAACATACCTGCTGGCTGTGAAGACGATTTTCACGTTCAAGCTCTTCAAGTTCCTCCTGCAAGAAAGTACATAAGAAACTACTGTAGAAATTCTGAAAAGCAACTTAAACATAAAGACACCAAAGGCCTGTTTGTTAGCAGCTTAATGAGACTCGCAGCTTGTTCGGTTAGCTATACATGACTGTTTGGTAGTGGCTTAATGTTATAGAAAGTGGCTTTATTCAGTAAGCTTCTAGGGGGAGCTTTATGCAGAAAGCCAAAAAAATTCCAAACCTTCCCCTCCCAATTAAAAAAACATGCTCCTTCCATCTATGAATAAATCATCCCAGACAAAAACTTTCTTAATCTATACAGACAAATTCATCCACACAAACAACTTAACCATATAGGACTTAATAGAAAACCAACCAAACAACCTCTAAGACTTACTTGAAGCGCAAGAATGTGTCGCTGTGACTGAGCTAACTCTTCCTCCCTTTGAGCTTGTTGCCTCGCCAAAATCTAAATTCCAAAGCACAAAATCATTTTATCAGAAAGCATCGTGTTGTTAGTTACTAAAATTAACTTTCAGCTGTAGTCCAAAGTGACTTGAATCAAAAGACCATAGATGACTAGACCGATACCTTTGCACATTATTGTGAGAAATCATGTACCATAGTCTATATAAAAATACCCAGCGAACTGAGTTTGTTGATAAGCATCAGAAACTCGAAGTATTTTCTATAGGATATAACAACAGAAAAAGTGTAGAGTTTGGAGAATGCTTGTACAGTGCAAAACTGTGCATACCAATATCTGATGTTCTTCAATTGAGGTGTTTGAGTTTGTTGTATCCTGTCTTGAGAAAGCTATCAAAGTGAAGTCAATATAGAAAAGAAAAAAAATTTAGAACCCGAGCAACCAACATGGTAAGATATCATGCTAGAACTACAGAAATTCCTAGGGTGAAACATAACAAGATAGAAAATGAAATAAATTGTACCCATATTGTGGCCATTTTCATTGTTATTTGCCTGAAATAACAATAACAAGTGATGTTAGGGTTTACGAAAAAGATAACGGAATGAACATTCTCAACTTGTGATAGAAAGAGAGGACCAAGGCAGATACCGATTGTTTCGATGATAATGAACGAAGAAGATTCTTATTGTTGTCTACAAGCTTTGAAATCTCCATGTCCTTCTCTTCAATCAATTTATCAGCAAGATCACGAAATGAATCATGTTCTTCCTATAATAAAACAAAAAAAAATTGAACAAGAGTATAAATTGATATCAGCCTCACATACACAATGTAACAAGTAGCACCTTCAATTTTTTATATCGTGTCTGGAGATCCTGCAATTCTTTTTGTAGAGTTTCACTAGGTGATGACTTTTGTTGTTCAACTTCGGACTTTAGTGCCTGAAATCTCACTGTGGAATAGTTAATGCAGTCGTCAAAATAAATTAAGGAAAAGCTTTAACAAATAAAATTGTACACTCAGAATAATTTTAGTTACATTGCCACATTTCTTCTACATTTTGAAGGTTCTTTTCCCAAGATTCTTTCTCGGATTGATGGCTAGAAAGTGCAGAAGAGAGCTTCATTTCCACGCTCTTCACCTGTTGCTCAGTGAGGCCAAGAGCTTCATCTCTGAAGAAAACATGAAAGTGGGCAACAAGAGAAAAATAGGCATAAGATATTGTTTAAAAAAGAAATTATGAACCATGGATTCTTCAAGACCTAGGAAACCATCTAGCAAAAAATTAGATGTCAAAATAGAAGATGAGGGAATGAAATCCAAGCAAAGGGGTATATACAAAATGTTCAAGAAATCTTATAAGCAAAGGATGACATTCGAGATTGAGGCTAGAATCATCGACAAAAACTGAAATTAACATGAGAGCAATGTCATATATATATCGGGTCAGGTTGAGGGGAAAACCGCAAAAAGTTGAAAAGCTGAGGAACACCTTGATAACCATTCATCTGGACAATATGCACACGTGCATACAAGTAATTCGTAAGCAATTTGTCCAGTACGCAAATGTGCATAACATGCACACGTGCATAAAAACCAAAAAACTTCAGTTACTTGAATGCACATGTGCATACCGTCCAGATGAATGGTTACCAGGGTATTCCTCAGTTTTTTATTTTTTTAGAGTTTTCCCCTGAACCTCCCTCCCTCTCTCTCTCTCTCTCTCTATATATATATATATATATATATATATATCTTGACAAGGAGGTAGCAAGCTACCTAGCACTGAGCTCCTTTTCATGACGACTTAGAGCATTCTCAAGATCTTGGAGGGCTTTGTCCCTTTCAGCAGATGTCGTCAGTATTTCATTCTCGGCCTCCTAAAAGAACGGATGGCATATGTGAGTAAATCTGTGTGCCTCGGTTTCACACAGAAGAGCAAAATAAGCACTGAAAAACATAGATACCTTCAGTGCTTCTTCCAGAGCTGCAAGTTGTTCGTTATCTTTAGCAGAGGCCAGCTCTGCATCCTTTCTCTGAAGAAGTGCATGAGCACGAGCCTTGTAGGAAGTAAATTCACTTTCTAGACGGCTGATCTGAATAATTAGAAAAATGATTCCAGAATGATGTCAAGGAAATGAGCAGAATGCATTTGCAGTGTAGACAACGAGATAGATTAAAAAATATGACAGAAATTTGACAAATGTTCTATGTAAGTTGCATATTTTAACCATACATCATGTGCAAAGAGCTCTTAAGATGTGTGCATGTCAAAGAATGGGCACTTAACTGGAAATGATCATCTACCAACCAAAGCCTAGGTAGAAAGACTTTGCAACAATAGGCCTAGAAGGAGAAGGATGAAAAGTGAAGCAAAAATGGAGGCAAAAAACTGGGAGCCGTACACCTCAAGCGTAATTCTTTTTCTTTCTTCTCCAAATCAAGAAAATTAGTCGCTAATAAGAATAGCCAGAGAAAAACTATAGGGAGGGAAATAGGACACAATGACTCCAAAGAGACCAGAAATATTACCATAATACTTCTTTACTTGAGAAAACATATTACCATGGCGCTTGATATGCATGTGTCGACTATTATAAGTTATTTTATATACTAACACATTCTTCATGAGTTATTTTGGCCTGACACCATCAGCACCTCGAGTGCATGGAAAAATACTATATTGAGCCAGATTGTAATGATCTGCTACATGGATTATGGTTTAATCAAAACCAAGACCGTTACCCATTCACTCCATCATGGTCATTACGTGGACTCCGAACATTTTCCATACACTATTTCACAGAAGAGATGACACAGTAGAACGATTACCTCCTCTTTGGCGGCCAGTAATTCAGCATCTTTTGTGTTTGACAGTTGACTTTGCACAGACAGTTCTAGTTCCATCTGACCTGTGGTTTTGCCATCATTAGGTTCATTACAAGAGTAAGTACCGAAATACGAAGTTGAACAAAACATTATATATACTTTTCATTTTGGCAGCTTCAATTTCAGCGCGTATGCAGTTACTCTCGGCAATCTCTAGCTTCCTGCTGAGTGCCTGGGAGGCAACGACCCATGTTTCTTTTTCTTTCTCCTAAGAAATAGAAAAATGCATTTTTATCAGCTGAATATGCTACCAATAACATAAACCTTTGTGTGTTGCAATTGATTTCCACTCCTACAGCAAAGCAGTTGCAAATTTATAATGTAACAACCATGTGTGACTGCATGAATGTCAGCTAAAATGTATAGCAGTTTGTCACTATGATCACAGGTGATACTACAAAATGGAACGTCAACTAGTTGGTAACAAAACTCGTATTCAGTTCATACATGCTCATGTTTCAGGTGAGTAAGTTCTCCTTTAATAGTCTCCATGGCGGCTTTAAGCCTTGCTGCTTCACCAGTTGAGGCTGCATCCATCTCTGCCAATTTTGACTCTTTTTCTGCAACAAGTCTCTAAAAGAAGAGAACGATGTAATATCAGACTTCTGTCTACTAGAAATGGTGGTTGGCTATACTGATGGTTATAAAAACTTAAAACATTTGCGTAAATGTATGACTTATTTACCTGCAGAGAAGAGATTGTTTCTGTTGCTTTGGTTCTATCTGCTGATGAGTCGGCAAGTTGAGCTTCCAGATTTTCTATTTGCTGAGAAGTACGACAGAGGTGTTATTTTGGCAAAGTTTGTGATCTAGATATGCTGGATCCAACTTCAAAATTCCTATAATCCTATTCCTCTCCAAACAGAAACAGTACCTTTTGATGCTTTGAAGAAAGTTCTGCCATTGAAGCTTGTCTCTTCTCTTCTGCAGCTTGCAGTTGCCCTCGCATGTTGTCTAGCATCTGTCGACATGCAAGTTGATATAAATTATATTACTCTATCTTACTTCCCTTATTTTTTTCCTCTTAGTATCAAGGTCAAAGATTCTGATAGTCATTTATCACTAAGAATAAAAGATGATAGGATTGAATAGAATAACTAGAGTTTCTAAACATCTCACAAGAACATAACATCAACTCTAAGATCTTAGGGGATTAAACCAGAGGAATACTATTAATCTATGTTCCTCTACCCTCAACCTTTGTTTTATTGCACAAGGATGGATTAGATGCAGATGCCAAAAAATTTGTGCATCCAGAGCTTCAGGCATTCAGCAAGGCAATCTTGCTACTGTCAAGAGCAGGCATACAGATACATATAAGACCACCACCAGCTAAAAAGAAATGCCACTTTTCATATAAATATATACACGAAAGTTCTTGATACTACTTTCTTTGCTCTTCTTTGCTCTTCTTTAACCTCGTAAATGGTCAGCATCAAGGATACACATAAAAAAACCCTTCATACTTGGCCATTATGGCAATGATGCAGGTTTTTTCTGTTGGATAAATAGAATGCAGGCACTCACATAATGTAAACCAGTACTCCCATCACAAAAGGTGTCAAAAATGGATCAAAGTAGTAAAGGAATAAGAAATCTTCGTTCCTTATGTCTGACACACGTGTCTGTGGGAAAATGTAAATGATTATGTATTTAATGTAGGAGTAATGAGAGCCGATTATAATCCCATAATATTAGTGATTAGGCAATCCCATAAAATAAGGAATTCATAGAATAGTTTCCTTTTCTTTCCCTTTGCCTTGTGTATTTATATTGTATGCTTCTTTGTCAAGAATGAATAAGAAACACAGCAGAATTCCTAAATCTGTTATGGTATCAGAGCTATCGAAGATTGGGAAGCCTTTTTAGCCTTCATAAACCTTCTTTAAAAATTCCGCAGGCCTTCATTGCCTCCTTCCTTTGATTCCTTTTTTGTGGCCTTCATTGCCAACAATTCCTAACCCAGTACTGAAAGAATGACAGAACCCAAATCAGAATCTGCCATAGCCCATGTTTCTCAACCAGGAGATTTACAGCACATCCATGCATCATACCGATTGGATGGAAAGAACTATCTCAATGGTGGATACTCATTCCTAGGTACTTGTTTTTTAACCTATTCAAGCGAGCATCCTTTTTCATTTGGATTTAATGTCTCAGTTTCAACCCTAAAATACTCTTGGATCATTGATTCAGGAGCAACTGACCATATGACTCACTCTTCCAAACACTTCTCCACATACTCACCTTGTCCAAGTAACAAGAAAATTGCCACCGCTGATGGAACTCAAACCACGGTAGCCGGTATAGGAGATATCCAACTTAGCTCATCCATTCTTTTAAAAAATGTTCTTCACGTCCCAAAATTGTCCACTAATCTGATCTCCATAAAGAAACTCACACGAGATTTACCTTGTCAAGAGGTATTTTGTGACGAATATTGTTTGCTTCAGGAAAAGGATTCGGGGAAGACGATTGGACTTGCTAAGGAAAAGGATGATCTATATTGTCTTGAGATGCCAAAAAGTACTACATTATCTCACTTTCTCGTATAAGAATCTGTTCTTTCCAATAAATAAAAAATCATAATTCATCATTCTCGTTTAGGTCATCCCTCATTTATGATTATTAAAATTATTTTTCCTTATTTGTTTAAAAGAATTGATGTTGAAAGCCTTCATTGTGAGGTATGTGAGCTTGCTAAACACAAGCGTACCCCTTTTCCTATCAGTGATGAAAGAAGCAACTCTCCTTTTTATCTTATTCACAATGATATTCGGGGTCCATCTAATATTTTCAATGTGTCGGGTGCAAGATGGTTCGTAACCTTCATTGATGATTGTACACGAGTTACTTGGATGTTCTTATTAAAACATAAGTCTGATGTTAGCACTATTCTCCCAAATTTCATATCGATGGTAAAAAATCAATTTGGAGTAAAAGTTCAAAAAATAAGATCCGATGCTGTTCGAGACTTTTTCAATCAAACTCTCACCTCCTATTTTCAAAAAGAGGGAATAATTCAAGAATCTTCATGTGTTAAAACACCCAATAGAACGAAGTGGCAGAAAGGAAAAATGGGCATTTATTAGATCAAACCAGAGCATTATTATTTCAAAATAGCGTTCCAAAACATTTTTGGGGAGAAACTTATCTTATAAATAGACTCCCTACCCAAGTTCTAGGATTCGAAAGTCCTATGGATGTACTTTCTTCCTTTTACCCAAATGTTTCCACTTCCAACAATCTTGTACCCCGTATTTTTGGATGTATTTCATTTGTTCACGTCCATAGCCAAGACAGAAACAAACTTGATCCTCGGGCTCTAAAGTGTGTTTTTTTTGGGATATTCCTCAACCCAGAAAGGGTACAAATGTTACCAACCCCCATCTAGAAAGTTTTTTATGTCAAGGGATGTAACTTTTAGCGAAAAAAATCCCTACTTTACCCAACCTTATCTTCAGGGGGAGGATCGAAAGGAAGATAAGGGTAGCATGGAAGATATTTTTCTTGACTTATCTATATTAGCTTCCACTTCTATCCTTAAGCACTCCCTAAATACTCCTGTTATCCATAATCCCGAAATAGTTTCACCAGCTCGTGAGCCTATTCCATCCCAATCTCACTCCACTCCTATCCATGAGCCTGAACACTCCCCAAGTACTCTTGTTCCTCATACTCTGAAACAATTCAACTAGATGATGAACCTATTCCAGAATCTGAATTTACTCGGTTTAGAAAGAACCTGGTATACTCAAGACAAAAGAAGAGCATTCTTGGACCTGAGCAAGTCCGAGAATCTAATATTGGTCCTTCAAACGAGGTAACAATTTCTAACTCTATACCCTTGCAAAGCATAACCGAATCTCAAACAAGTGACCAATCTCTGCCTATTGCCGTTAGAAAAGGAACAAGAGAATGCATAAAAAGACCATTGTATCCCTATCATACTACACCTCTTTCCAAAATTCTCTCCCACCTACAAAGCATTTCTTGTCAACCTCAACTCCATTTCCATTCCTACAAATTTATCTGAGGCATTATCTAATGAAAATTGGAAGCAAGCCATGAATGTGGAAATGGAAGCACTTGAAAAGAATAAAACTTGGGAGTTGGTTAAATTGCCTGAAAGGGAAAAGGCCAGTAGGATGCAAATGGGTTTATACAGTGAAATATAACGCGGATGGGTCAATTGAGAGGTATAAAGCAAGACTGATAGCCAAGGGATATACGCAAACTTTTGGCATTGATTACTTTGAGACATTCGCACCTGTTGTAAAAATGAATACAGTTGGGGTAATTTTATCCCTAGCTGCTAATCTTGATTTGGATTTGCATCAATTTGATGTAAAAAACGCGTTCTTGCATGGAGAACTTGAGGAGGAGATCTATATGGATGTTCCACCTAGTTATGGAAAGGGAACAAAACCCAATACGGTGTGTAAGTTAAAAAAGGCACTATACGGCTTAAAACAATCTCCTCGAGCATGGTTTGGGAGATTTACCAGGGCTATGTTAACTTTGGGATATAAACGAAGTCAAGGGGATCACACTTTGTTCATCAAGCACTCAAAAACAAGAAAAATAACAATGCTACTGGTTTATGTGGATGATATCAATTTAACAGAAGATGATAAAGAAGAGCAACAAGCCCTGAGCCTATGTCTAGCCAAAGAATTTGAGATCAAGACATTAGGAAGACTGAAGTATTTCCTTGGAATTGAAGTTGCTCATTCAAGAAAGGAAATTTTTATATCCCAACAGAAGTATGTTATAGATTTGCTCATGGAAACAGGTCAAGGTGCATGCAAACTTGCTAGTACTCCTATAGACCCGAATCATAGATTGGGAAATGCAGAAGAAGATTCAATTGTGAACAAAGAAATGTGTCAACGGCTTGTAGGGAAACTTATATATTTGTCTTATACCAGACCTGACATAGCTTATGTTGTAAGCATCTCAGTCCATGCATAACCCAAAGGAAACCCATTTACGAGCCACAAAACGGACTTTATAGTGTCTCAAAGGAGCACCGGGGAAGAGAATCATGTTTGAAAGAAATAACCCTGTAACTCTTGAAGCATACACCGATGCAAGCTATGCTACGTCATCACTTGACAGTAGATCGATAACAGGGTATTGCACTTATCTCAAAGGAAATCTTGTGACATGGAGAAGCAAGAAGCAAAGTGTGGTAGCACGATCTAGTGTTGAAGCCGAATTTCGGACGATGGCATGCGAACTATTGTGGCTAAAAATCATCGTAAAAGATCTAAGGATCAATTGGGAGGGACCAATGAAGCTCTATTGTGACAATAAATCAGCAATAAACATAGCTCACAATCCAATTCAGTATGATCGAACAAAGCATGTTGAAGTTGACAGACATTTTGTCAAGGAGAAGCTAGACAGTGGCTTAATTTGTACTCCATTCGTGCCTACTCATGACAACTAGCAGATGTTTTCACCAAAGGACTAAGTAGACCAACGTTTGAGAGAATTTTATCCAAGCTGGGAATGGGAAACTCCCACTCACCAGCTTGAGGGGGAGTGTGGGAAAATGTAAAAATGTAAATGATTATGTATTTAATGTAGGAGTAATGGGAGTCGAGTATAATCCCATAATATTAGTGATCGTATGCAATCCCATAAAATCAGGGATTCATAGAATAGTTTCCTTTTCTTTCCCTTTGCCTTGTGTATTTATATCGTATGCTTCCCTATCAAGAATGAATAAGAAACACAGCAAAATTCCTAAATCTGTTAGTGTCTCATCATTATTCTCTAATTAATTGATCCTTCTTAGCAAGCTATAATTTCCCTCACGCCTAAACTATCAAATATGATTGAACTTTAAGAGGTGGATACTCCTTCAATATTCATAAGTTCATGTGAAAGATTCAACTAACATCAAATGCAGAATACACAACACATAACTCAAAGTTGCATTGGCCATGGAGGCAGAACAAGAGGCTTTTGGGCCAATTGTACCAAATGAGCTTTAAAGCCTAAATCATGAGTTCAAATCCATTCAGAGGCATGGATCTGTGAGATGATATTCTTCTTAATTGGAGGGTAAAAAAAGAACGATTGCATGGAGGTAGAATAAACATCAATATTAGATCACCACATAGAGCAGGTCCTTCATAACTAGCCTTACTGTTGGCCTTCATCCAATTGTAGCTTAGAAGGAGATACACAACAGTAGATATTACATGAAGCAAGGGATAACAGATTTACCTTTATACATATAAATAACAGAATAAACAGATGCAAAGGCATCTCTTTTGCACAATTTCAAGATAAAGTTTCTTGTACAGTCGCTAGTACTCTTGTAGTATAGAACATAGAACTAGTTTAAGCATTTCAGTACCTGTTCTTTTTCTAGTAGCGACTGTTGCAATGTCTCAATAGCATTATCTTTAGGCTCCACAGAACGGCGCATCTCTTCAAGACTGTCTCGAAGTCTAAAAGCGATTGAGATAGTGAATAGCCAAGAAAAAAACAATGCAATCAATGATGCATTCAAAAGTAGAAATAATAATTATGCCTTCTCCACAAGAGAGAACAGATTGCAACCATTAGCAAATTTCTACAATCGCTTGGCATAGTCGATAATCGAAATTCTATCTGATTAATGATTAATGCTTGGTACCATGCAGCTTTAAGAAAAAATACAGAATGGATGAAGAGATAAAACTTTTTTATGAATCAAGACATGGAACCACAAATTGTTAACTTCAGAACCACTTAAATGCACACACCATCGTCATATCTTTATTCATCGTGTTCCGACATCAATAATGCTAAAAAATCGAGAAGTTCAATGACTTCTATAATTAAGATTGGGACATAGAGAAGTGGCAATGTTGGTCCAAGTCTGAAGGTACACACTTCATGTTATTTAGGGTATGTTTGTTCTCCCCTCCTACTTGAAAAGATCCTTGTGTATGGGAATGTAACTTTGTGGGTTTAGTAGATAGCTTATGACACCCTAAAAATGTGAAGTGCAAAACTTGTACCGTGTTCCACAAATGCTACATTTCAACTTTTAAACTAAAAGGTTTCACTTCCACAAAATAAAAGGATATGGCGTTGATCTGAAGTTTTAGTATGTTGTACCTATTGTTTGCACTTCGCAATTGTTGCCTCTCTGTATCAATTGCTTTCAGCGCCTCATTAGCGTTTTGGCGTGTGCGATCAAGTTCCTGCTGCAATCCTGACAACTGCAATGAAGCCTGCTCTGCCTTCTCATTGACTTCACGATACTTGGCCTCAAGGTCATCTTTCTCCTGGAAATGATTGTCTCCACAAACCAATCAGTATTATGACACAAAATGAAAATTTTACATACTCTGACTACCTTACAAAATAAAAACTTAATTGTATATAATTGTCACTTCTTACTTCAAGTCTTGGCTGCTTGAGAACATGAAAGTTTCTCATGTAGAAAAAGGAATTTTATTTTATTTTTGCAGGATCCTGATCTTTCACACTAGATCTTCTTTATAATAACGAATTGCAGAATGGATATCGTTGATAAGATATTGTTACCATCTTGCATTCTTTTACCTAATCTTAGTAATTAAGGATAATGATTTTCATAAGTAAATAGGTCTTTTATCCAATGATACCAAGTGAGCTCTATAACCCTTATGATACGAGTTCAGATCTCTCGGAAACATGGGTGCATGCGTTGATTTGCCATTTAAAGAGAACTCTTTTTTTCTCAAGTACGTGAATATTGGTGTTATCGTAAATTTAGAGATGATTTACTAAAACGCTTATGTCATCCCTTTTGAGTAATGTGTTCTTTTGAGTGATGTGTTGCTGCTACATTGTGCACCATCCACCATATGCCTTTCAAAACACCAGGAGAGAACATCATCATATGCTATGGCCTAATTTCAGATTCTTATTACCTTTAATCAAAAAATATCTGTCAAGGTCAACAGTATCATGTTAACATTACGTTGACTGCCTTGTAAAAGAATAAGCCCATTGTTGGCTTTGTTGTGAGTGTGAGTGTCAGCTTGGGAAAAGTATTTCCAGAGAGATCAGAGAGTTTTCTGCTTTCCTACAGTGAGCTGCCTCATTCTCATATCAGTGGATCAGCTTCACTTCTCACTTTGTGGAGGATCCCTAATCCCTTGTTGATGTGGGTTTTAGATTCAAAACTATATATCAATCGTCTACTTCTCTTCAGGAAGCTAACTTAGAAACCACGACACTTTTTATAGTTTTGGGAGTGGACGTGATTGAGTCATGTACATTCTGGGGAACTTTAGTGACTGGCTTCAGAGGATCTAAAGCATATGCAGGTACAGACGAGATTTGATGTCGCTGTTTGGTAGCAATAATGGGAACTTTGTGGAGAATTCACCACCAGTTTGGTTAATATCGAACTGTTAATTGTCAGTTTCTTGAGTTTATCGAATTTTCTACTTTTTTCCATTTTAGGATTATGGAAGCATTGTGTTTTGCATTTCTTTTTTCCTAGACATGTTATCTCTATATCTCATTACAATTTCTTTCTTGATAAAAAATAATAATATGATAATTCAGCTTAAGATATGACAGAAATGCTTGAGATCAAGGAAAAGTGAAAGTAAGCAGGAGCGAATCAATTCTTGTTAAATAGGAACTGTTAGCATGATTGTGCTGTATCCAAACGAAATAGCTGGAGTAGCGTATGCGATAGCTTACTGACGCATGTGATAGCTTAGTGGCCTTATAGTGATAAGTTCCTTCCTGTTCAACTACAATGCATTTGACAAGTTGTGATGGAAGAAAGTTTACAAATAAGATTTTCCAGTTTTCCACCAGCATCATTGCCAAGTGGAAAATTCATGAAAAGAATGTAAGGCGGTTCCAAATCTAAGGCCCTTTACAAACTAAATTGTGTGAAAATTTAAGTGAACAAGGCCAGAATACTCCCAAATATTGAGGCATAGTTTGCAAAACTGAGTCCAGGACTCCCTGTTGGTTATATATCAACATCACAGAAGTCCCTCAAAAGTATTTATAGTTAAAGCATGCACATAAAGAAAACTAATAAAATAAGCAGTTGATATAGAGGTATTAAAATAATGCCCCAGTGGTATCAATGTGAAGGAAAAAATGTCTGAATATGTAATATATTGGATACTGCATGGTTTTAAAGGACCCACGAACTGAATTACCTTCTGAACCTCTTGGATTCGTTGTTTTGCTCGCTTGTGAAGCCTGTTTAACTTAGAATCAAGCTCAGAGTACTTCTCATCACGCTCTTTTATTTGTTGATCCAGATTTTTTTCAGCTGTATGAACAAACCATGGTATAACTTTATACTAAGATCAAAAAAGGAAATCAATACCAGCAACAAAAAGCGTTATCATACCTACAGCCATCGGCCATGGAAACTACAAAAACCTCCTCGATTCACATTCCAAGGTAATCATAGTAAAGCAGATCAAAAAAACAATAGTTAAAGGACAAACAGGAAATGTATACAACCTTCAGCTAGTTTAGCAGCAAGCTCTTGGGACTTGGCATCGGCATCTGAGTATTCTGCTCGAAGATGCTCCAGAGCTGCCTCTGCAGCACCCCGTGTCTGTCTTTCTTCTATAAGTTCTTTACTCAAGGAATCTATTTTGTCATGCAACTCTTTGGAACCTCCAAATTCGCCATCTTGATCAATTGCTTTAGCTTGTTGGAAAGAACCAGCTGACTCTGTGTGTACATTCTTCAATTCCTGGAATTGAGACTTCAAGTACTCATTCTGAAACTTAAGCTCTACCACCATTTGCATCAGCTGATCTTGAGTATCATCAGAATTGAGGTTACCGTTGGATAAAGCAGTACCCTCATTTAGATCTCCACTATTTTGAGGACTCGGGTCATTCAATTTTTCAGAATTAAGGTTACTATTTGATATAGCACTACCCTCATTTAGATCTCCACTATGTTGAGGACTCGTGGCATTCAATTTTTCAGAATTGAGGTTACTATCAGATAAAGCAGCAGCCTCATTTAGATCTCCACTATTTTGAGGACTTGTGTCATTCAAATTTTCGGAATTGAGGTTACTATCAGATAAAGCAGCACCCTCATTTAGATCTCCATTATTTTGAGGACTCGGATCATTCAATTTTTCAGAATTGAGGCTACCATCGGATAAAGCAGTATCCTCATTTAGATCTCCGCTATTTTGAGGACTCGGGTCATTCAATTTTGGATAAGGTTGTACAGCATCTCCAACATGATTTTCTAATCTCACCTCAATTTCATCTTCCCCTTCTGACATTATCTTGTAGTTTCTAAAATACTGCGCTGTATTTTGAAGTTGGTGATGTCTTTATTTACTCTTCCAACTTGATAAAAATAAACACTAGAATGGCATGTGTATAACAAACTCTTCCCTTATAAAGGTTCCAACAGATTTAGTTCCCTTCGTCTGTGAGCAACTTTAAGAAAAAACAGAAAAAGGTAAATATAAGGTACAACAAAATCAGTCGATTACTTGGATACTAATTATAGAAGATCCTATGATGCAAATTGTTTCACGTACTGAAAGGGACAGTTTGTCCATTATAACAAGATGAGATGGTTTGCCAGAGCAGTGGACAATAAAAGAGACATTAGAAACAACTGATAACTGGTACACCAACACCTACCTAAATCAGAGTAAGGAAAATATACAAGCAATGGGATCAGCTTTTTGCGGTTAAAGAAGATCAAAGAAGAGCATCAAATATGTTCTTGATTAACATTTGGGGTGGGATGTGTGGGAGCATATACTGAAAGTAACTCTAATTCCAATTCTAATTCTAATCCACAAAATTTGGATTTCCTGACACATATTTATATCAAACTTATGTATATCATGGCATTGGAAACTCAATTGCATGGTTTGTAATTTGAACTAAAATCAGCTTCAATCCAATTCCACATTCTCACACCCTACCTTGACTCACAAACAAGTCTGAAACCTCCTACAATAACAACTTCTCGATCATCACACCAATATACCACATGAGGCAGCTAATATCAGTGACTAATTCGATCTACAATAACACTCACACAGAGTACATACTAACATACATAAAGTATAAAACAAACCAGATTGAAAGCAACTGCAACAAGTGAAATAACTTGACAACGTGGTAACAATTGGGATTTTTTGTTGCATACAAAGTACTCCTGGTAAGCAATTCTGCATATCAAAATAAAAAGTGAAGAGCATTTGAGGTATCTAACCTTATTATCTTGTGTAGACGAGAACAAAATCAGCCAACATTTTTTAATCCGAAATGGGTGTGATTAATTGGTCAATCAAGATCTATATTTCGTGAATATTTTTTCGAATACCTAAAGGATCTAAACACCACCACCCCCTCTATGAATCAATCAAACCGTCATTATGAACAAATTTATGATTGAAAAAAGGGGTGGAGATTCGGATGGCATAAACTCTATGAATGCTATGTTCTCACGATTCGCATTTGTGAAAAATGGAAGCTTTTCAATGGCACCAGATTTTCGATTTACGTATGCTCCCGAGTCACGAGTTGACTCAGAAGTCCGCAAAACGCAAATCGAACCTTGCACCCCCCAACTTCAGTAAATTCATCATTTTATCCTCATTCAAATTTCTAGATTTATTTTTGTATGTTGTTTGTTTTTTAAGAGAAGTTGAACCGAAGTTTTTTTATACGTATAGCTTTCAGAGAGAAACATGACAACTCACGATTTCATTAGCAAAAATATTTGAAATTGCATCGGAAAAAATCATTGAAATTGACGAAAGATTAAATATGATAATGAAAGCATTAGCTAACGACAAAAGAAAAATAATTGAAATTGCATCGGCAAAAATATTTTGGTAGCTAACGTGGGTAATAGAAAACAAGCAAATCAATGGAAATGATGATGAAAGATCCAATAGATTTACATATAGCAAAAATTAAGGGGTCGTTTGGTTCGTGATATTCAAAGAAATTTGATGGAATTGAAATGACAAATTCATTTGACCAAATTTCAATTTATTTGTTTGGTTTATTTCTTGAAATGGATGGAATCTTTCGAATTTCAGTGGATTCCACAAATTAATGAATTTATCATTCTTTGTTATAATGGAAGAAATTGAATTTCATCACAATCCACCACGACCATGATACTATTGTTCGTCATGCCTCATCCCTAATTCCCCAACCACCATACCACTATTGTCGCCGCCACCCATCCCACTCCACCCTACCACTAACCACCATGTCATCACTGTTGTCATCACACCCACCCGTCAATATGTCAGTCATTGCACATACTTACTACGACCATGCTACTACGGTTACTGTCACGCCCCTAACCTAACCCCTAGTACCACACCATTATTCTCGTTGTTTATGTATTATTGCAAGTCAATCTATTGGAGAATCTGCACTCGATTTTTGATAGAACTGCCTTGCAACCAGGTCTTATGCACTCCTATGAACGTGGAAAATATATCGTGTACCTGTCTGTAATGGAAATCCGAAAGACAAGAACTTACAACTGCCACTCACCCACCATGCCACTACTATCGTCGTCATATCCACCAACTCCTAGCCACCCGACCACCATCTCACCACTGTCGTCTTCACAGCTATCACCCATCCCCACCGCCCACCTCGCCCCTAACGTAACCTCCCACGCCACTATTATCGCTCTCACAACCGCCACTCACCCTACCCCACGCCACCACTAAACATTATGTCATTATTCTTGTCTGTCATACCTACCGACTCCTAGGCCCCAGCCACCCGACCACTGTCCTACCACTATCATCATCACAACTACCACCCCACTGTCCTGGTCTGCTCCACAGCTCGCGCCCATGTTACCCTGCTCCAACCTGTAACAACTCTGCACTTTTGAATTTCCAGGTTAGGACCTCATTTCGAAATCTTCATTAGAAAACTAAGTCTTTTAGGATTAACCTTATTCAGAGTATGATCTTGAAGAGGTCGCCAATTCGATCGGAGGCTCTGGTGATAGTCATAGAGGCTCTGGCACTAGCTACAGAGGCTCTGGTACCATCTACAGAGATTCTGTTGCCTCTTCTCAGAGACTCTGTGTCTTTTCACAGAGACTCTGGCAATTCTTCTCAGAGACTGTGTCTTTTCACAGAGACTCTGGCAATTCTTCTCAGAGACTTTGTGTCTTTTCACAGAGACTCTGGCGATTCTTCTCAAAGACTATCTTTTCACAGAGACTCTCTGTCTCTTCACAGAGGCTCTGGCATCTCTTTGCATAAGTTTTGAGTCTCTTCACAGAAGCTCTGACGTCTTTTCTTCGCAGAAGCTCTGTTGTTTTCTTTCTGAGGCGCTGGTTGCTCAATTTGATCATTATGTTCGACAGCTAGTCTTGTTCCAAGCTTGGACATTTTGGTTATTGTAGATTTTTGGGCCTTAATTTAAGGAAAATTTTCAACTCCTTGGGCTTGGGCTTTTAGAGGCCAGCCCACTTTCCTTCTAGAAGTCCTATATATATATATATATATATATATATATATATATATATATACATACCCCCTTTCTCTTTTAAAAACTCTTCTTTATTCAAAAAGCTCTAGTCTTTCCTCGTTCTCCCTCTCTAAATAGTTCATCACCTTCAAGCCGAACTCTTCTTCCTGCAAGTTTAGAATTGTTGTTGTGCTCGAATCGTTCTTATCTGCCTTGTCTTCAAAAAGGTATGCTCCTAAAAGTCATCTAATCCCTTTAAAGTGTTCGATTTCCTATTTTTTTTCTCTTTTTACTCAACTCAAGTTTCGGATGGTGAGATTATTCATCGAAGACATGCATATGTCTTCATCAGGTGATAATCTGTGACCTAGAAACTTTTTTAATCTCAAAAGAGGAGAAGATAGTTCTTACATTTTAAGAACCGATTACACCTTTGGGTGACTTGAGTCCTGCATGCAACTCTAAATCAAATCTTTTATCTTATAGCTTTCCGAAATCTAAAGACTCCCAATTGTTTTCTTTTCTTACCTAGATCTTACACAAAAAAATGAGAATTTAGGGTATTATCTGTCTCTATTCTTGAAAACTTAGAGTCGAAACCATCCCCATTTGATGCCATTCTTGGACATGCAACCGGTCTTGGGGGAGGTGTGCGGCTCGAGGTTATAATTGTTCTTGGGAAGGGTATTAAACCCACCCAAAATCTACAAATTCCAACAGATGGCGACTGCCATCATCTGCTTTGGAAAGACATTAAATGATGTCATTATTTGAATTTTGAAGTTAATCGTTAAGGCTAATATTTAAGCGTCCGCTACCTTGGTACTAGCATCTGACAGATTACCTTGAAGACAGATTTTCACAACTTAAGTTTTGGAGGTTAGAAATTCGTATTAAAAATTGGTCGTCCTGTCAGGAAGTCCGAACAGTTGATAGCAAGTCTCCTAAGGAAAAGCAATTGATTATCGCCAAACTGTGAGTTCACGGCCCTTTTTTACCAATTTATCGTTTTGGGGTGAAAAACATGATTATTGAATATTTGATAGATTTATATTGATATATGAATCTTGTTATGAGTATTTAAATGTATACATTATTGATATGTTGAGACTAAAAGTCCCCATTTATTTCCACTACTATTAATTCATTTTGAACCCATGATTCTTGTGGATTGCGCTATTTGGTTGTATACCCACCCTTTATATTAACAAGTAGGGTGCACTTGGTCATTAAATTTTGCTCTGCACATGTGGGATTTAGTTCCACCGCTGAGGTAGTCCGACAGGAGTTCTACACATGTGGGGTTTAGTCCCACCGCTGAGGTAGTTCGGCATGAGTTCTACACATGTGGGGTTTAGTCCCACCGCTGAGGTAGTTCTTGTATATATGAACTACACATGTGGTTCGCTACCACCTCTGAGGTAGTTCATGGGGCGTTTTTAGGTTTAGTAGTGGCTCAACTATTTTCAATCATGTGTATGTCGTTATTTTTAAAGATATTGTTAATAAATTTATAACCAAGATTGATGCATTTAAAATTATTTTTATGCATATAAAACATGTGAACTCACCAACTCTTGTAGTTGACTATGCTTTATGCCATGCTTTTCAGGTACTAAGTAAGTTATGTGGACATTGGGGAGCATTACTTGGATCACATCGATCAAGACAATTTCTATTGTATTTCAAATATTTTTGTAACCTTGGAATCATGTTAAGTCGATGAACTATATATTTTCTTTTTGAATCTTCGTTGAAAGTGTTTCTCTTAAACTGTTGCTAAGACTCGCTTGTCTGTTAGCATTCCGTGTTTCCGCTTTAGCGGGGTGTGACACAACCCACCACTAATAACCACCCTACCACTAGTCGTCACAGCTACCACCCTGCCACCCATTGCCCACCTTACCGGGCCCCAACCTATGGAGCAGGGGGTGGGGCAGGAGTGATGGGGCGGGGGGTGGGATGGTAGGTGGGGTTTGGGTAGGGGTGGGACATGTGATAGCTGTGACGACGACAATAGTGACTTGGTGGTTGGTAGGGTGTGGGTCGGGCGATGGATGAGATAATCCAAATAGAGACGATTATTCCAATTCTATTGAGAGATCTCATTCCAATTCCTACCAACCAAACGCGTGGTCAAATTTCTTCAAAGTCAAATTCCTTTGGTTGATTTCAATTCCATCAAATTATATTATGTGAACCAAACACCCCCGAGGATGATATCGGGAGAAAATCACAAAAAGTTGGGATTTGAAACTAAATTAATTCTTTTAACGTCTTGTTTTTTATATTCTTGAATATTCTTCGTATCTTCGATTTGAAATATTCTATTTTTCGTCTTAAATATTTCTAATTGCTTTTAATATTCTTTAGGTGATCAAATTAAACGGTATTGATGTCTAAATCATCCGATGTTTCTTCTAAACTTTTAACCTCGTTTGTGTTGCATATTGAGTTAAAAGTCGAGTTATAAGAACAAACAAGACATCTTCAAAATCTTATATAATTATTTCTTACATTAATTCAACTCTTGATGATCACAAAATTATTGGGTTTTTTTTTTTAATTTATAGTTATAACAAATAATTTGGGTAAAAGGGCCTCAACTGGGTTCTTTTTTTTTTCCAGAATTTAACCGCCCATTAATTGTACTGGTTTTCAATTAACCAGTGACTAGTTTTCAGCTTTATCACAACTCTTTTTAATTAAACCGATTAAAGACCGGCACCATGTTCAAACTTATGACCAAAACAAACTTTCATTTATAACTGATTCTTAAGTTGAACATTTTCTAACAACGGTTGTTTCTTGCTTAATATAACAACATACTGAAAATGATATATCGATCGTTCACATATTGGTAATTTTGATCAATAACTGTTTCTTTTCAATCACATATGGGGTATTACATAATGCAGGTCGATTCAATAACCACCCAATCCGTTTACTATATGGGTTATTCGATTTTGATTTGGGCATCAGGTAAAATCGAAGTGTCAGGGTTGTAAATGAACCAAACAAACATGAATAGGCTTGCTCGTTAACTAAATGAACAATAACATATAAACGAACAAAATTTGTTGTCGGTGTTTTTTTCGTTGTGAAAATAATTTTGTTTATAAATACTAAATGAACGCAAACAACATAAATGAACACATATTCGTCATTTATTATCATCCATTTGGACTTTAAGAAAAGAACAATATTTCACCACACTTTAATGAAAACATCATATTTTGGCATGAGGATGGTGATTTGTCCCTACCCGGTAAGGAACCTGGCTCACACGACCAAACGGGGACGAGGACTTCCTGCTAAAACAGGTCCTGGGGCAAGGGCAGGGATCCTCGGTAGACTCAAACTAACGGATATTCTTCATGGAGTTTGACATGGGTTTAACTGAGGATGAGATGTTAATCCCCGTACCCGTCAGGGACCGGGGGCTGTTACTAAAGAACGGGGCCAGAGATTACAAAACCCGCCCCATCCCTGCCCTGTTGCTATGCATATTTTGGCATATTAATCCACCATAAACATCAAGGAATACATTATGAAACATTTCACAAACGTAAATAAACGAATGATTGCACATTTTGTTTAACTAAACGAGAAAAAAAAAACGTTTATATTCATGCATTTATTAAATAAGTTAATTTATCGCAGAACAATTCGCTAGACATTCAGCTTATCAATAACCCTACAAATAACGAACTGTTAGATGGTCCGGTTTTCATTTTTGTGTTTTAAGTCGGGCCCCATCTGAAACGCAAATATTCATACGTTATTTATATCTATCTTTCAAAACTTACAATTTTTTTACATTTTATAGCTTTAAATTTTTAGTTTTTTACTTTAGAATGTCAAAATACCACCAAATAGCAAATAGACTCGCGTAACGCGGGACCGTAACTGAGTTAACTCTCAAATATATCATTATGTAATTAATATGATCATAAATATAAAAGTATATGGCTCGTAAATATTTTATTTTAAAAGGGCAATTGATAATAATTATATAAATACATGATGGTATTTTTATCTGGCTCAAGGGTTAATCATGTGAAGATATAGAACATGTCCTAAACTGGTAACAACATAAGTTGTGTAATTTTTCTGAACAAATGGTAAAATTGACGCATTTAAACCAATCACGGTGTGCACAATTTAGTTTGGTATACATTATAAGGTGTAACGTTTACGGATAGTTTGGGATAATTACCGAGTCAAGTGTTAATACAGTTCGAACAATTTGGTTCATATAGAAACCCCCCCCCCCCCCAATATCAACACAGTTTGTTGAATTATTTTCAACTTCACTCCCTTTTTTTTTCTCACATTTTGAAAGGAGGAAAGTTTCGAGAGAAAACATAAATGACATTTTCTTTTATCTCGTTAGAAAACAGAGAACGGATGATTTTCCCCCTCCTTTCCATGTGGACGGACCTATTGTGCCACCTTTGTACACACATGCATACAGTTTTGCAATGTGAAAAGCTAAACCATAAATATTTATTATGGTGCATACCGTAAAAAAAACTGTAATTTTCTTTGTCCTACCAAATTACTTGCAGACACGTCATTATTTTATATGATATAAATTTATTTCATTTTTTTCATTATCCCTCCTCGTAAATGAAATGACTGTATATGATTGATAGACAAATGAGAGAAAGATAATTTTAGGATAACCACAAGGGTGGTGTCTGATTGGTTTGAGCTTGACTGCAAAGGTCAAAAGTACCAAGAGGTACCAGGTTCAAATCCGAGAAAGAATAAAAATCCCTTTGTGACCACGAATGTTCAAATGTGGTGACTCCGGACTATCTGTAAAACAGATGGTCATTCTAGGATTAGTTGGCTCGCATAGCGGGTTGGATATCCAGGTTAATAAAAAAAAAGATAATTTTAGGAAAACAAGTTTTCATCTGTGAAATTGGCACAAGGGGTCCAAAAGGTGTGAAATTCCCCCAAATAGGGTTTTTGTTGCAACTTATAAACCTCGTGAGCAACCGCAAAATCTTTATTTTTCAATACAAGTCCTACTCGGCAATTTGGCTGAAAACAAGAGTTGGGTATTGAACAAAAGAAAGCGATCTTCTCTACTTCAGCGCCCCCACTTCCCGCCACCAAGCGACACTACCGTCATGGCTATGTTTTTAACATTTTAATGGCAGCGATAACGGTTAGACGTAGTGTATTTATCGTCCCCATCAAGGCGCTTTTTGCATTGCAGGTATTCTTCATTCTCTGCTCTCGTCTATTGAACTATTTTCTTCTGGGTATATCGTCGAACACCTTGTGAGCAAACTCTTTTTAATATATTTCTTGTTACCTATAGGGGCTTTACCATAAAGTCGTTGAAGGTGGGGATGCTAAAGCTCAACTACTTGGTGCAGATGATTATTTGATTTTCAAACCAGGTGTGCCATGAAACGAGTTTGGAATTTCGTTTAGTAGAATGTTGTAGGCAAGTTTATAATGCCATTTTCAGGTGATTTCATATACAATGCACTATAGGGAAAGGAACAATATTTTTACTGTTAGGTACATTTACGACAAATATGAAATATGTAATATTGCCGTTAAATTTACTGCCCCATCCATATTGTTTTAGTATATTGAGACTACAAGGTCTGATCCAAGAACCAAAACATCGCTCATTTTATTCTGGAACGGAGAGAATATGTTTATAGGCATTCTAGTTTGGCCAAGGGGTAAATCCTTTGTAACTGTATGTTCTTTTAGATTCAAGCAATAAGAACCAGTGAACTACATTACTGCCACTTGGCCTCTAATATAGCCCCTGACCTTTTTAGAGTTAGATTTTTAATTGCATGTCGATTCTGATTCATATCTCATGGGTGGATAATGCTGTAGGTGCAATTGATGTTTCAAAATGGAAAAAGATGGATTCAAGGTCCATGGGGATAACTCAAAAAATGATACCAGCACCTCCTTATACTGTTCTGCAGATTCTGCGAAGCAGAGGTGACAATTTATACAATGTAATCTATGTACATTTATACTATACTTCCCTGTCGTTAGTGAATGTATGCAAAAGATAAAGTTCTTCCCATTTCGACAGGTAGCATTGACAGATGTACTAAATTGGTTCTTTTATCAGTTGGTTACTTCCAGTTCCACTATACTTTTTGTGCTCTTGTTTTCTGTTCATCAACTATTTCAGAAATTAATGACATGTTATTTTTTTTAACAGTTTTTGACACAAAAATAGCGACGCCAAAATGCTACGTGTATGGGCCAATTGTAAAGTTGAAGGATAAAAGATACAATTTCATCGAAAGAACAGGAGAAAGAAAAAAAACCATGATTGGTTCTTATCTGGAGGCGTTCTAGACTGTAGACACATCTGTAGATTCTAACAAAGAACAAAGTTAGAGCATGGTATTTAAAAAGAAATGTCCTACACTCTTGATAGGGTCATAGGGTGAGAAAATAAAGAGACTTTGTAGGCATATGACTACAAAAACAAAATATGGATTCATGACCTCTTGTATATACCTTATAGTGCTAGCACAACCATTGCAGGAAGGAGTATATAGCAACATGCCCTTTAAACAACATTTTATCTCCCCCAATCTATATTTAGTTCTAGTCATGTATGATCCTCAAATATGCCTTGCCCTCATCAATTGGGTAACTCTCTTAGTGTTGTTAGAGGCCCACTTAGGTAAGAGGTGCAACGATGGGAGGTGTCTTTGCTTGTGAGGCACTAACTTTGTGATATAAGGTGATTCCGTCTTTAAGTTTGACTGTTCAGGCCGTTCTTTCGCTTGTTTCACATAGAGGAGTATCTAGCAACATGCCCTTCAATGGTTTATATCGTCTCAATGCAAAATTTTACAATTTTAACTCTAATGCTCTGTTCAGTTGGATGGAACAGAATGGACAAGAAATGGGATGAGGAATACAATGAAGTGGATCTTTACCATTCCGCTATAATGTTCATTGGCCTGTAGGAATTTAACGAGTGATTAAATCATGTCTAGTGGTATGCATGAAATATATCTGAATGAAATTAAGTTGATATCTAAAAACAAAGGCGTCCTCAATGAATAGATACCCGTTGACTTGGTTCCTGTTTCGGCTGCCAATAGGACTAGTGAGCCTGTTGTTGTTGTTGGAACAACTTCATCTGAACAGCGACAAGAACAATACTTTCTTGGAAGCTGTGGCTGCAAGTTTTTTGGTGATCTTTAACATTAATTTGGCTTTCTCAAGTCATTTATTGACCGATAATACTGAAGTTAGGACAGTTTAGCAGCAAAAGAAAGAAGTAAAGATCAGATGGTAGAATCTATTGGTATATGGACTCTAGTAATTGTTAACACCATAAATCATTCTAAAGTATGATGATTGTATGAATTTGTTATACTTGTGCTGGGGAGTGTTGTCTTCATTTATTCTGAGTTTGGATGTAGGCTGCTTCAGCTTAACTATTTTGTTCTACATTTTGGTTCTATTACCATACCACTTTTGTCTTGGATGTACTTTGCAGGATTCATCCACTGATTGCAGATCTTTACACAACTACATTCTTTACAGGGTTTGAAGCCTACTTAGTTGGTGGATGTGTGAGAGATTTGCTTCTCAAGAGACCACCAAAAGATTTTGATGTCATCACCACAGCTGATCTTAATCAGGTTTTGCTTCCTTTAAACTACCATAATTGTGATGTTTTTCGGGTCCAAACTTTTATCATCAATTTATCATTATGGACCTAAATTTGTTGTATGTGGCATCAATAAGTAATAAGTGTATATGCTATATTTGCAGATCAGGAAGCAGTTTCATCGAAATGAAGTTGTTGGTAGTCGATTTCCTGTATGTAGGGTGCATATAAAAGGCTCTGTTGTTGAGGCAAGTTGGTGCATTCATGTTTACTATCTTTTCATGTTTTTCAGTTTTTTTGCACAACTAGGTTGGAGTCATCTTTGGTACACTGGTCCATCTCAGTTTACGTTATGAAATCTGTATGTTTGTACCAGGTAACTAGTTTTGATACTTTGGCCAAGGATGCGGAAGGAAAAGAAAAATTTCTCATCTCCCATATGCCTAGAGGCTCTGATAAATTGGACCTTGTTCGCTGGAAGAACTCGATGCATAGAGACTTCACTATTAACAGGTATTTTCTACTGCCTTAGTGTTTCTATTGATCTGAAGTCCATTGTATTGCACTGGAAAGGATTCATCTCACTTTCCAGGACTGTTGCTGTTTTGAATGAAACTTTTCTTTATTGGTTATCAATTATTTTTCCGTCTTTTGGTCATAGCCTATGCTTTGTATAATCCATCTATTTTGTGAAAGCAGCTTGTTCTTTGACCCTTTTATTCACAAGATCTATGACTACAATGACGGAATGAAGGATCTATCAGAGCTAAAGGTTAGATATAGTCATCTTAGGGGCCGTTTACTGAACGCTTACCTGGGTAAGTGTTTACCGGAAAAATTCAACACTATCACTTACTTACCAGGTAAGATTTTTAGTCCACCAAAACAGTATCGTATGCAACAATATACCCGGTAAGTGCTAACCGTGGTAAGTCGTCGCCATCACTTACCGGGTAAGACTCTCGGTCCTTGCGTTCGCTCTTACCGAGTAAGATTCTTGGCCCTGGCCATATTTATCCGGTAAGGTAATGTGACTTGGTAAACACTTACTCGAATAAGCATTTGGTAAACAGCCTCTTAGTTTTCTAATGTCTGTTGGTAATATCTGTTGATTGGCTTTTTTGGGGGATGGAGTGTGGTTTTACAAGACTGGAACTTTCAGCATTTTTCTTGAAATCTAGTCAACTGTGACCCCTTCTTCCATTTCTAACATATGACGCAATTGATCAATTTATTTTGTTTGTGATGTGATTTCAGTTACGGACGTTAGTACCTGCCCAACTGTCATTCACAGAGGACTCTGGTTAGTGCTCTTTGTCCTTTAATCCATACATTTTATTATCATGAAGCTGTGATAATCTTTCTTGTAATAACTTTACATTAGACACTGATTTCTCTCCATTCAGCAAGAATACTTCGAGGCTTGAGAATTGCTGCTCGTCTTGGCTTATCGTTGTCAAAGGAAATCAAGAGTGCAATTCTTAAAAATGGATCATCTATTTCAAGCTTAGGCCAGGTGCAATTTTGAAACTCTGAGTATTGATTTGATACAATAACTATTTACCAAAGTGATTACGATATAAATGTTAGCAAATTAATTACATTAGATATACTGGGTTGAAGGAAAAGAGAGACCAAACCATAAAAAATTGGAGCAGATCTTTTGATCTAAACGAGGAATACGATAGATCTTGTTTTGGACAATTGATAGTCTTCATAAGAAGACATTTGACTATACAAATTTAAGTATAAAATTTAAGCTGGTTGATTTAGCACAAAACACAAAAACTGTTGCAAAGGTCATCGTTAGTTTCACCTCGTAGAAGATTGAGATCCTAGGACTGACAACATAGTGCAGTCACCAGAGAGACGTCAGGAAAGTGTGAATATGATTGAGCCAACACCAAACCATTGAGATTGTCTTGTTTCGTTTGTGCCCGTAACCCAAGAATTCCTGCACAAGTTCAACACTGAAACAAGCAAGGGTCTTAAATTGATAACCTTGTCAGTTTGATTGAGATCTAAAGGACTCACTGAAACTAGATTGAATAGACATAGTGGATGAACCTCAACCAAACAACGTTATTCAAAGGAGAGGTGTACATTGCTTGATCCCAACACCAAACTATTGACACTGGAAATAGGCTTCAGGTTCAATGGGGGTGATAAGGAGCCAGATAATTTAGAAATACATGCATGCAAGAAAACAAACCACAATCACTACGGAAAAGCAAGGCGGATGAACATCACACAATAGGAAATTACGATCTACCAATTTGAGATGCAAAACTGCATGGAACATAGGATCGAATGCCATCGCTGTTGCTTTGCAAACTACCAAATTGGTGTACACTACTACGAACTGATGGAATTGAATTAAAAGAATGAAAGCAAAATCACTCCAATGGCATTCGAGAGGCCATGGTCTCTCCCAGAGCAAAACTCAAATCACAATTGACATGAAAAACAGAATGCCCACCAGAAAGTGCACCCCCAACCAACAAAAGGAATTCCGGCACATTATTGAAAAAGTAAAAACTGAAAACTGCCCCTGGGCCTTATTCTAAACAGCACCTACTAGAATAATAGAAAAACTCAACTCATTTGTTTCTTCTTTTGTACGTGAACCTTAACGGAGGTGTACCACAAATCAAGGCCATTTGAAGAATCACTTACCACAATCCGTCCGTGAGTCTAAATCTAAAGGTGATGGAGCAGATGACACCAACTCCTTAAACAGATTTGACCTGTGTAACCAAGCTCTCTCTGCTGGGATTTTTCTGCATATCATGCGCCTCATTCAGGGAACGATGTACATTTTTCCCAATGAACTATTACAGTGACCTTATCTGTTTATTGAGGTGCCATAGAATCGTAGACCTTGTTGCAATGCCATGAATCCCAGTTAGAGTAGTTCGACATCTTCAGTTTTGATTCAAGAAAACCTATTTCTTCTTTCTTTTTTTCTAGTGAAGCAAGATGTCTTAATTGCATTCTTGATCCCTCTTTCTCAAACTTTGAGGCTTAGGCATCAAATGGAAAAAGACTGGATTTTCTTTTTCCATATTCTTGGCATACTTTTGTTATTGTTTTCTTTACTATTCTTTTTTCACTAATGTATGTCGTATCTCCTCAAAGGACACTGATAGCTTGTTGAGCTCCTGGCTCCACAAAGTAGTTTAAAACTTGCCTTTTTTAGTATAACACATTTTTTATTCAGTTCAGGATAACCATGGAGTTAAATTATATGCTATCATTTGGGGCAGCTGAATCTTCGTTCTCCTTGCTTCATAAATACCATCTTCTTGAGATTTTGCTACCGTCTCAGGTGAGTCATGAACCAGTGGTTCTGCTTTTATTGTCATTATAGAACATAACTAACAGGAACTATTGAGTTTTTTTGGCATTGCAGGCGGCATACATTTCTCAACAAGTGACCAGGTCTGGGCAAAGTTCCATGATGTTAATGGTGTCTCTCTTTCCTTCTTGTTGTCTGTTCTTATCAAATTAATTATTATTCTTTCTGCCAATTTTGATTGTCTTGTGCAATAGTGGAAGTTGTATTACTTTTCTCTTTTGGCTAATTATAATTAACTATTATAATTTATCTTTACAGACACTGCTATCCCATTTGGATAAGTTGGTTGCTTGCGACCGCCCTTCTGGAAATTGCTTATGGTGAGTGGTTTCTTAAATGCCACATTATATGCTTACATATTATATAAATCTCCATTCTTTAGAAATAGCAAGTAATTTGTACTGCAAGCCTTAGGCCTATCTGTGATACATTTTCATCAAATATAGTGTATTCTATCTTTATTCATTACATCGAATTATGGTGCAAAACAGAATTACCCTGAATAATCTTTCTATTTTAGTTGCAGTGTGAACTATGATATTTTGATACTTCTCCATCATCGTTATTAAAATGCATGTTGTAGTGTAATTTAACTGGTGCCTTGCCTCACTGACGACAACAGTGCCATTAGAGTTCAACATCCTGCGTATATAAAGAAAGTCGTCTAAACACTTCTGTTTGTGAAACAGGATCGGAATTTTGGCGTTTCACATGGCACTAGTAAACAATCCCCAACATCCTTTTGTCATCATGACTTTCGCTTCTGTTCTCTATCATCAGAGTTGGGAGTATGGCCTCAAATTTGCAAGGAAATGTGGTCGAGCACCAGTCAGCTTTGAGCCTGAAACTCTAGAGGCATATAAGTTCATTTCTGATGATGAGGTTGCTGAAAAAGTAAAACAATTAGCAATGCTGGTGGTGGATTCTATTGATGTTTTAGTAGACGTGGATAGCCTGAACAAAATGATGGCGAAGTTTACTGGTTCTCCCTGCTCTGGTTTGGTACGTGCATCTAATTGATTTCATATTTTGTAAATTATCTTTTTTAATTAAAGAGATCCAGGATTATTTGCCTTGATATGGATTATAGTTGTTTAATGGTAAATTCTTATGCATATCCAGTACCACTTCTTTTATTGCATTTGCAATTATTTAGTTTTCTAATCATTGTGTGGTAGTCTTCAACATCATCCGCATGGATTCCGTGAAACTTGACTCTTGAATTTCATTCCAAAGATTTTATAACTTCATTATCCATGTAAAAGCTGACAAGCTTTCTGCTTTATAAGTAAGGGGTGGTTGGTTTTCCATGTCCTGTATGGATAAAGTTGACTGTGTGGGTTATTCTGTCTTGAATAGATTGGGAAGGTTTTTCTCTGGCAGGGTTTTTCATAGATGTATGGAGCGTGTTTTTTAATTGGGAGGGGTAAGTTTGGGAAAAACTTGGTTTTCTGCATAAAACTTCCTTAGAAGCTTACTGAATAAGCCACTTTCCATATAGTGAAGCCACTACCAAGCAGTCATGTATAGCTGACCCAATAAGGAGCGTGTTTTTCAATTCGGAGGGTTTTTCATAGATGTAAGGAGCGTGTTTTTTAATTAGTAGGGGCAAGTTTGGGAAAAACTTGGTTTTCTGCATAAAGCTTCCCTTTGAAGCTTACCGAATAAGCCACTTTCTATATAATGAAGCCGCTACCAAGCAGTCATGTATAGCTGATCCAATAAGCTGCGAGTCCCAGTAAGCTCATTAAGAAATGCTAACAAACATGCCCTAAGTATTTCAATGTTGCTTGTAGTGTAATCTACCTTTTTCTTTCTCATGTTTTCAGGTATTTATATCCAAATACAAGGGGAATTCCACTAGACAACTTTTTCATGTCCTTGCTCATAAGGTGGAAACCTATGAAAAGGGCAGGACTTCTTTTGAGATAAACTATGACCTGCTCGGAAAGGGGGACTCCCTAGAGACTAGGTTTGTCCTTGGGAAGATAATTTTGGATACTATGGGATGTGGAGTTCACCGTGACAGTGATCCCAATGAGGACAACTATGATGGGTCTTTTAGTCCGAACAATGATCATCTTATGAACAAAAAGGAGGACAGAAAACAACCACCATTTTCGTCTAATTTGGTTCTGCAACAACGCAGTGCCCCAAAGAAGCCTAAATTGATTGCAAAACTTTGCAGTATCATGCAACAACGCCCAAAGCTAGATGAATTTCAGGATGAGCTAGGTGACCTCCAAGAAGGGGTATCTACAAAGCATATGGAAGTATTTGACATTTCTTCTGATCCAGAAAATGAGGTATTGTGCAACTTTTGGAATTGAACCGAGTCTTCTCAAATTTAAAATAAATATAGATTTTAGTACTAAGATGGCAGTAGTTAGTATCTTTTGTTTTAGTGTAATGTGGATACTCTATTCTTTCTTGAAAATATTAAGAACCTCAATATCAACTTAGTGTCAAATAGTTTGTTTGTCGTACCTCCGTTTATGTGGAATGGAGGTGGTAATGCTTCTTGAAATAAATTGCAGGATGGTAAGATGTATAAGCCAGAAATTAGTATGCCTCAATCACCGGTGCGGAATTTGATTCGCATGCTAGAAACTGTGATAGATGATGATGCAAAGTCTCCATCTCAGTTAGATTCTCAAAATCTGGAAGAGAGACTTGAGGGAAATACAGAAGTCGAATTAGATCAATCGATAGCAGAGCACCAAAGGGAAAGAAATGAGACTGGGTTTGATTCGCTTTTGTGGTTTGTTCAAACTAATTGTAACAGGGCAATTGAAGAAGCGAGAGATTCTCCTGCTGACATGAGAAAATTAAATAAGTTTCTTGATCGCTTTGTGGATGAACAAGTTCAAATAAAGAAGGTGAAGAAGCAATTAGAAACATATGATAAGGTAACTTCTATTCATGCATTTCAAACAGGAGGTAAGCAATTAGAAGCATCTAGTTTGACATCTTCTATTGGTAATGAGCAAATAGAAAGTGAACAATCAGAAGCTTCTAGTTTGACATCTTCTATTGGTAGTCAGCAAATAGGAGGTGAACAACCGGAAGCTTCTAGTTTGGTATCAGCAAATAGAAAGTGAACAACCGGATCTATCATCACTTCTGAAATGGGAAGTAGGCCTCAAATATGCATGCAACACCCTGAGGAACCTAAGACTACACCGCGATCTAAGAAGGCGGAATCTAGTGGAGAATTGAGTAGAAATGACGAAAGAACGAAGAAACGGGTTTGTTCGTATTGCAAGGAAACAGGCCACAACAGAACTGGATGTCCTAAAAGAAAGGTGGATACAATGAGCAAATTCTTGGCCACCACCATATAAACTATTTCTTGAAGCATGTCATTTTTTAGAAAGAGAATTTGCATCAAAATGAGCTTTTATTATGTGAAAATAGCCTGTGTTTAGTTCTTTGGTAACTTCTAGTGCTTTCATATATTTAACAGGAAAAGATTAAAGAACCATAAGGGGCCGTTTGGTTCGCGGAATGCGAAGGAATTTGATGGAATTGGAATGATAAATTCCTTTGACCAAATTCCATTCCTTTGTTTGGTTAATATCTTGAAATGGATGGAATCCTTCAAATTCCAATGAATTCCACAAGTTAAGGAATTCATCATTCCTTAGCATAATGGAAGGAATTGAATTCTATCAACACCTACAACCACCATGTTACTACTGTTTGTGATGCCCCACCCCTAACCCCTCACTACCACCACCACACCACTACTGTGACCGCCACCCACCCTACCCCACTACTAACCACCATGCCATTACTGTTGTCATCACACCCACCCACCCTCGGTCACTCACTGCACATCCCTGCTACGACCATGCTACTACCGTTACTGTCACGCCCCTAACCTAACCCCCCACCACCACACCATTATTGTCGCTATCACAGCTGCCACTCACCCCCACCCCCACCCCACCACTAACCACCATGCCACTATTGTTGTCATTATACCCACACACTCCCAGGCCCCAGCCACCCGACCACTATCTCACCATTATCATTGTCACATCTAACACCCCGCCACCTACCC